TTCACATGTACCCCAAAACCTAAAATGCAATTTAAAAAAAAAAAAAGACTTAATGCTAAGGACCACAGGAGAAACAAGGAAGGTATTTTTAAACCAGAGAGTGATGCAGTTAGATTTTAACTTTATAATGACAATCCTAACTACAGGATGTAAAATGGATTGAAGGATCAAGACTGGAAGCGGGAGAGCACCTAGGGGTTTTTGTCATTATTTCAGTGTGAAAGGCTGGAAGCCTCAGTCCTGGTGTTGTCAGTGAGGATGCAGAGTGTGGTGGACACTACTGTGTCCAGCTCAGATCCCCTTCACCAGGCCAGTGCATGCATGCCCCAGCTACTGTGGGACTCGGCTGCTAAAAGCTCACAGCCTTACCCTTTTCTGGACAATTGCACCAGATAAAATGGGAGCTGCATCGCTTGGGGTATTTTGTTCCCCCTCCTCAGGCCCACCAGGGATGACTGACTGGAATAGGGTTCGAGAGGTTAGTTACTTTGTCTCAAGGTGGAAGCAGTTCTGTAGTATAATGTGTACCTCAGAGCTCCCAGGGCTCCAGGCTACAGGAAGGCTAGTTGACAGCACATCCTTCCTTCCCCTGCTATAGAAGATTTCCTTCAATCTTTTCCCCTTATAGATCACTTTTATTAAAATTCTCATATCTTCTGAATCTAGGGAAATCAAACTAATTTGGAGATATATAGAAGGGTTCGAAGAATATTTTTGAATTCTAAACAAAATAACTTGACATAGGATGAGATGAGAGAGAGAGAAGTCATGGATTAAACTTGGGCCCTGGCTTAGATCACTGGATGGCAGGGAGAGACAGAAGATTAATGAGTTTCCAAATATGTTGAATCATGTTCAAGTCTCAACATAGTATTAAATATTACACACATAGGTGATCCTAGGACCTATCCTCAGAAACAAGACCTGGAGGCAAGGCATAGAGGCAGAATAGTGGTTGGCAGAGGTTGGAGGAATGGGCATAATGGAGAGATGTTGGTCGAAAAGTGCAAAGTTTCAGTTCAACAAGATGAATAAAGTTCTGAAGGTCAAATGTACAGCCCAGTGATTATAGTTAATATTAATAATGTAATGTATACTTGAAATTTACTAAGAGAATAGATCTTAAATCTTACCCCCCCCCAAAAAAAGTACCCATGTGAGGTGAGATCTATGTCAACTAGCTTGATTGTGGTAACCATTTTACAGTGTACACATATATCAAAACAGATTGCATACTTGAAATATATGCAATTTTTGTCAGTATTACATCAATAAAGCAAAGAAATATTAGGAATTAAATTGTGTGATGTAATTATTTTATAATATGTAGTTGATTTTTTATTGTAAAGATACTAATACTTGTCCTATTATTCTAAGTGAAGTAACTCAGGAATGGAACACCAAACATCGTATGTTCTCACTGATATGTGGGAGCTAAGCTATGAAGATGCAAAGACGTAAGAATGATATAACAGACTTTGGGGACTTGGGGAGAAGAGTGGGAGGGGGTTGAGGGATAAAAGACAAGAAGTCTGGTGCAGTGCATACTGCTCCAGTGATAGATGCACCAGGATCTTACAAAGCTCCACTAAAGAACTTACTCATGTAACTAAATACCACCTGTATCCCAATAACTTATGGCAAAAAAAAAATTTTTAATACATACAATGGATTATACCAAGAAAAAAAGATTATACTATTTGTGATTAATATCTTTCTATATCCAAACTGTTCATGAAAAGCATAATATGTTAAGTGTAGTTTGGCTTCTCTATGACAGTGGATGGAATTATTAATGCTAAGTCAAAGTACAGAAACATTCAGGAATGAGCTGGACATGGATGGCAGAGCTGAAAGTCGAGGCATGGTGGTCTGAGGAACACAGATTCAGGGATACAAACGGGAATGGAGAATGAGATATCTCTGATAACGGCTTTTAATCTTTTTAATTCCATGAGAAATAGAAGGAAATAGAAGTGCATGGAAAAAAGTTAAACCCACATAAACGATGAAGTGTACTGTGCATATAAGTCATCTTCACTAAGGCTGTTTGCCTAATGATCATCTCTAAGACCACCTGCATAGGCTCAGTGGAGAACCCTTACGAAAGTTTTAAAAAGCATTAACAGCTTCACTGACAACCTTTCTATTCAAACTGTCTGTTCATCTTTATTAATTTCATCACTACTCTAGAATGAGTCAAAAGACACTCTAGAGTTATATCCAAGGGATCTCTCCTGGATCCAACTTCTACCCACCATCTAAACTTTCTTGGGTATCTTCAGGCAGGTACCTGTCTTGGTGACTTATACAGCTAGTGCTCGACTTACGATCATGGTCGGGACAGCAGAACGGTCGTAACACGATTTGGTCGTAAGTTTAGTAGGCTATATGCACAGTTGAAATGGTGCACGCGGAGATGGTAGTGCTGCCGGAAGCTGGTTCGCACTGTTGTACGCCCAGCTGGGCAATGTTTGCGCTGCCAGGTGCGGAGCAGTCGTGGCTAGCAATTGTGGTTGTAAAGTCGAATGGTCATAAGTTGCATAGGCCATAAGTCAATCAATACCTGTATGTGATTTTGCCTTTCTGCCAGATTGAGATTTCAGTCAGCTTTGGATATCAATTCTGGTTTTGTCCTTGGATGCTATGTATCTCAGATGTTCTCATAACTTTATCTTTCTACACATTCCTGTTCCCATTCTGGTGCCAAAGTCTAATGCCTAGGGACCCACCATACACCTTTTGATAAAGGAGCAGAAACTAGATCTTTCATGCTTTGAAGAGTAGAACAATTGCCAAATCATGAAAATGTACTTAAAAGTTTAAATAAGCCAGGTGCAGTGGCTCAGACCTGTAATCCCAGCACTTTGGGAGGCCAAGGCAGATGGATCACTTGAGGTCAGGAGTTTGAGACCAGCATGGCCAACATGGCAAAAACCCATCTCTACTAAAAATATAAAAATGATCCAGGCATGGTGGCACACTCCTGTAGTTCCAGCTACTGAGGAGGCTGAGGCAGGAGAATCGCTTGAACCCATGAGGTGGAGGTTGCAGTGAGCTGAAATTGTGCCACTGCACTACAGCCTATGTGACAGAGTACAGCTCTGTCTCAAAAAAAAAAAAGTTTAAATAACAATGTTAAAAATTTTTTTCTATAAAACCACTTCTGAATAATTGTTCATCCTCTATCTTCAGTGAAATGATTAATCAGATTCCAGTGCATAATAGTAAAATTAAATGAAATTTAATTTTAATTTAATAAACATTAGTTTATACAGAATCATTTAATAAATTGTGTTCATTTTTAGGCTTTACAATAAAAAAGATAGCTGCAGCTACCTACTACCAACAAAGCATGTAGAATAAGGAGCCATATGTCAATTTATACCTCATTCTGCCACTAACTTGAGGTTTGGTCAAATCATGCAACATATATGCACTTCAATATCCTGTAAAATGTATTATAAGAATTAAGGATAAAATTTGAGTGCTAGTTATCAATGTATTGCCTTCTCAGCTCCAAATGCAACCTTCATTGCCTGCTCTGTAATGAAAATAAGCCCTGTAAGAATTTGTTCTCTGCACATAGTCTGCTTTGATGTTAAGTTTTGTCAGTACAGGGAATCGAAAGGGCCATGACTTCCTGATTTAAACGTTTCCATTTTGATCTTACACTATGTAGCTTCCAGTAGCATGTGTGTTTGGCTGGGCAGGGCAGGGGGAGAGAGAGACATTCAGAGGTGCTCACTTCCACTGAGTTTCACTGACAACTTCATGGACAATTTCTCATTGAGTTTCAGTGGTACCTCTGCAGGAAGATTCCAATGAATCATACAGATACTCCAGCAATCAGTTTTCCAAAACCGCCTATCTGTGATGGGGTAGCCTTGGTCCACCTACACCCCAGAGGGTTGTTTCCTGCTTGCAGGTCCAGGCTACAGTTCCTCATTTACCAGCCCCAGCCCACCAGCATCCCAGTGGGAGGCTCCCAGCTGGCCAGTCCCAGACAACTTTCTTGTGTGTCAGGTTCTGTCCAGCTACCATGAACTAGTTCTGGCCCAAGACTACCCAGTGAACTTCTCCAACGTCCAATTGGCAACAACTATACTTTCTCCAAAATATTGGAATCTCAGCCTTAGGAAGGGAGCCCAGCTCCCAAATGTGTTCCTTTTTCTTTTTTCCAGATGGAATCTTGCTCTGTTGCCAGACTGAAATGCAGTGGCGCCATCTCAGCTCACTGCAAACTCCAACTAGCTGGTTCAAGTGATTCTCGTGCCTCAGCCTCCCCAAGTAGCTGGGATTAACAGCACATGCCACCATGCCCAGCTAATTTTCGTATTTTTAGTAGAGACAAGGTTTTACCATGTTGGCCAGGATGGTATCGATCTCCTGACCTTGTGATCTACTCACCTCAGCCTCCCGAAGTGCTGGGATTACAGGCGTGAGCCACAGCACCCTGAATGTGTTCCTTTCTTAGATACTCATCTCTCAGTCACAGGGCATTCTTTACTTCTTTAGAGTTAATCTCTCAATATAATTAATAATTGTACATAAATTTTCACTGCTCAAATCAGGGAAGTTGTGTGATCCCTAACTGATACAGTATGGAAAAAACTTAATATAATGCAACCTTGCAGGCATTTGATAAACAGTACATCTTTCTACAATATGACCAATATATAGTGACCAAGAAAATTTACAAAAGAAAGTGTGTATATATTAAGCCAGAGTCCAAAGTAAAGAAATATTATTAAACACGTAAATTTCAATAATCAGCAGTAACCAACAGCTCATTATATCATAAGACTGTTTCAACATCAATCTAATATTCTACATTTATACTTCTTAGCATCTAGAGATGTTTCAAATTTCCAGACAACTGATGAATACTTATCGATTAAAAAGCAATAGTAGGGATGACAAGAGTATGGAATAAGAGAACAGTAAGCGTTAGAGTCCAAACTTTAGCTTTATGCTTTAGGGACTATCTGCAACATTAGTCAAACCCTTGTTAGAGTCAATATATTCATCTACAAATCAAGAAGTTTAGATACCTATTACCTCTATGCTGAGTGCTCAACAGTCTTATTTAATCATTACCTGAAATCACTTTTTTTCTCCAAAGCTTCCTTACTGCACTCTTTACCTCAGCATTTCTGAGTGTGTAGATCAAAGGATTTAACATTGGGACCACCATAGTATAAAATACTGCAACAGCTTTATCAGTGGGCAGAGTGGTCACTGGGCGCAGATACACAAATATACAGGGCACAAAGAATAAGACAACTACTGTGATGTGAGAGATACAGGTGGAGAGGGCTTTACGCCTCCCCTCCAAGCTATAGTTCTTTAAAGATCTCAAGATGATAACATAGGATACCACCAAGAGAAGGAAGTTTAATAAGCAGATGAACCCACTGTTGGAAGCAACAAAGAGACCAAGGGTATGAGTGTCCATGCAAACAAGTTTTAACAAAGGGTACAAGTCACACATGAAGTGGTCTATGACATTGGGGCCACAGAAGGGCAGCCATACTGTAAAGAGAATCTGAATAGTTGCATGGAAAAATCCTCCCATCCAGGAAACTGCCACAAGGAGAATGCACAGACTGTGGCTCATGATGGCTGTGTAGTGCAGAGGTTTGCAGATGGCCACATAGCGGTCATAGGCCATCACTGTCAGCAGGATGATCTCAGTCGCACCAAAAATGTGTTCTGCATAGGTTTGAGCCATACACCCACTAAAGGAGATGATTTTCTTCTCGTGAAGGGAATCCACAATCAACTTAGGAGCTGAAGAGGAAGAATAAACAGTGTCTATCAAAGAAAGGTGGGTCAGGAAGAAGTACATGGGGGAGCTCAGAGCCTGGCTGGTGGTAATGGTAACCACAATGAGCAGATTGCCTGAAAGTGTTATCATGTACAGAACCAAAAATACTACAAACATGACTTTCTGCATTTTGGGGTTCTGTGTAAGACCTATTAAAATGAATTCAGTCACATTCCTTTTATTCTCCATCTATGTAGTATGGGTGTTAAAACTCCCAGGAAGGAATATTTTACCTTTAGAAAAAAATAAAGGAAAAAAAAGAAGCATGTTATAATCAAATAGTCCAAAACCTTGCCTTTTCAGTACTCTGCCATCTCACAGATGATTCCTTCTTTTCTGAAAACTCCCTAGGAATAGATACCTGTAAACTTCTTTTCCTTTTTATTCCCCCAAACACATGATTTTTAAGATACCTGTAAACTTCTTTAGCTGACTTCTTAGTTTGTAATTATCCTGACCTCAAAAATATTCTCAAAAGACATGACACCCTGAAGAGAGAGATTTCATTTCCTAGAGAGTAGTTGTTGCAAAACTTCACTTGGACATCAATATGATGAATTAATGCAGTCATTAAATGTAATAGTTTTGGAGACTAATAAGACTTTTAAATGTATATATGAAATGACATGAACTAAAAAACCACAAAATAGTCTACATATCTTAATTATAATTATGTAAGAATTCTACAGGTTAAAAGTTAGTGATAATAATTATAGATTCAGTATTTTAAGATTAAAGATTTTATATGTATATTTTAATAAAATTTGTTCAAAAATTTCACTTATAAAACCTTACATAGGTTTTGTTTTACCTATGTTAAAATATATGTGTACAAAAAAGTTGATAAGGAAATAATATATTTAGGACATTTACTTCTGGATGTGAAGCTAAGGGTGATTTTTATTTCCTTATGTTTTTTAGTATTTTCTACCGCTTGCATAATTAATTGTATAGTCAGAAAAGAAATACAGTTTCTATTTTTTTCTTGGAGCCCTGAGGCTGAAATCATAAATGTTTAAACTGAGCAGAATATGTAGAAAAAGAAATATAGGGAATTATACACTGGTACATGATGGGAATCCAGGAAATATCTGGATATAGTTGCTATAACGTGCTCATGAAATTTTTGTCACGAAGTCACCAAATGGACATAGGGAGAGAGCCTGACTGGACCCTAACTGCTCTGAGAAGATCAGGACAGAGGATGAGGCTGCCATGACCACCCATGGATCTTTCAGAATCTTCCTAATATAATTTTTAGTCTACCAGTCAAAGATTTTTGATATCTGGTTTTATACGATCGATACGGTAGTCAATAAGTCAAGTCTGAATAATCAATAATAATCTGTTTAATACATAGTCTATTTTCATTTACTTAATGAATAACATACATTTCATTCAATTAACTTTAAGACTAAGTACTATATTATTAATTCTCACTTTTTCCTAAATTTTAATTTTTTTATCTTTATGTGATCTTGAAGCACAAAGGCAGTGATGGGTAAGATGAATTGCCCCTGTTACAAGTAGGTATAACACCTGATGAGGTGCATGAAAAGGTAACAACTTCCTGGGGATCCCACAAATGCTTTACTGAGAAGCTGGCCTAAGGGCTCCAAGCTCCAGGATCATGGTCTCCCTTCTGGATAGCCCATTGCTTCAGAGAATCCTTTGAGGGACAAGAACTCTTGAGAATAAGGTTGAATGCACTTGTAATTGCCAACTTTTCCCTAGAGGAGATGGCCTTTGAGAGAACCAACAATCAACTAATGTTTTTACAACTTCCTGAAGGTCTAGGTCAAAGGTGAAACTTCCTGATCAAAACCTGACAGAAAACCCCAAACTTGACCCACTCGTTTTCATTATTTCACTTAGCAGTTCAATTTCTTGCATATCTTGAAGTAATTAGAATATATTTAAAGAACAGTTCCTTTTTTGCAATTTTCGTCTTCTTCCTATTTCCCTACAGACACAAACATACAAACAGAACAACTCAGTCTCATGTCAAAATTGACGTCTTTAATGTTCACTGTTAATTGGGAGACTCAAGCAGAGGATCAGTTTCTTTCTCTGTCCTAGTCCAAATACCAATAGTGTGCCAAATAGCAATCCTCTAATACCCATATTTTTACGGAAATTAGAAACAGAGAAAAGTGTCAATCTAGAAGAAAGACCTTGATATCCCATAAAAGGGCCCTCAGACTGCAATTGAGAGGTCAGGACATAAACCAACTTCTTCCCAAACAGAGAAACTTTTGTTAGTTTTTAAATTTCATATACTCATTTTGAAATGCAAACTTTTATTATAACTCTGCTTTTCCCCATTCTTACTTCCTAGCATGCAGAGATTTATTTTTATACCCCGTACTTCCTATAATAATTGTTCATTTTATTGAGTGCTTGCCATGTACTTAGTGCTATAGTAATTCTCGCAACAATGAAGTTAGTACACAATTATCCATATTTTAAAGAAGAGTAAACTGTGATGAAAAGAAAAACAACTTACCCAAAATTAGTTTAAAAAAAAGAGAGAGAAGCCTGTATTCAAGCATAAGATGCCTGCCTCTAGCTCTTCAGTACTTAGCCAGCGCTTCTCCAGTATCAGTCCAGTTTACTTCTGGGACTCAGCAATGCCAGTTTGGACAAGTGAACTAGTACCCAAAGCTACCACCTGTGACCATAAGAAATTAGTGACATTCCTTTTGCTAAGCTAAGAAATGCAGAGTCAGGTGTAATGAGTTCAAGGGTCCAACTGGACAAGACTCTAGAATTGTTACACATTAAAAATCCTCAGGCATCTTGCATTGCATCAACTTGTCTGTACTTTAAAAATGAAGAAACTTAAGTCTCAAGAGGTAACGTCCAAGAAAACACAGCTAATTTATTTGTGACAGAGAACAATAAGAAAATACAGGTCTAATAATGCCTGCCCAACACAGTCAGGTTTTTCCATCACAGCTGGCCTTTCTTAACATACCTTAATATGAGTATAGACAAGAAAAATCACCCTACAATGACAAAATTAACTTTCATGTCTTATCTTTTCCAATACCTGTCTTGATTGTCTAAGAAAGAGGGCTGAGTTCAGAGATGCAGAAATTCAGCCATGAGACTACACCCATTGTAAAAGAAACAAGTTCTCACCTGGTTAAAACAGTATCTGAGAACACATGAAGACAATCAAAATAAAAAATACCCCTAAGCCTGCAGTTTAACATAGATTCCCAATTACAGCAGAGGGTACACTCTTTACTTGCAGACCCTGTATTTTAATGCACTTGCCTTTTGGATTCCAGTCTTAAAGCTGAAGTTTTTGTTTGAAAAACAGAATCCAAACTCTCTCCTTCTCTTCCCTCCGATACTGACCTGTCCTGAGCTCAGTGAAGGTCACACACCTTGTCAGCTCTACTTTAAATTTGCCTTTCTTTATTTTCAGTTGTTTCTCACACCTCCTCCTACTAGTACAAGGTGAAATTTTGCCTCTTTTTAATCCCTGGAGACTTTCAAAGTTAAAGTATTATTTCAAGGAAATGAGTAATTGTACAAAAGCCAATCTGTTTATGTACATAAATCATTACATCATATGCCCTACACCTGGAGGAAACCTTTAGCGACCCATCTACCTACTGCACTCTCTTCACACTTCAAAGCCTAGAAATTGACTCAGGAATCCATAAAATGTTAACCTTTTCCTAATAAATTGTAGTTATATCAATACACAATGAGGAGAATAAATATTTCTGCAAATTTTCCTAAAACACTTAGAAGTCATTGTCCATCAAATATCAGATGTAATACTTTAATGAGTTTAATTATAAACACCTTGGCAGAAAGAAGAAATGTAAGGAACTGGATTAAAGATAACTTACTGTGATTGCCTCTATAGTTTAGGAGAATGACCACTGTATTTGGAAATACGAAGTAACCATTATATGTACCTGTTCAAACAGCATGTTATGTAATGTGTATACCCAAGAATCCACTGACTGGACAATTTTACAAAAAGCACAGAATGTCAAGATGACAGCAATTTCTCCAAATGGATTCAGCAAGCATTTTCAAAGCTCCAGTGCCTTTGAAGTTCAAGTTGAAGGGAAAGAAAATGTTAGTTGAATTTGAAACCCAAAGTCCTTAGTTACTAAAGAGAATCTCCAGATCTTCTCTGACATCTAGATCTATATTATAGAACAAGGGACACAAATATTCTAACAACACCACCTCTCTTGTTCAGCCTTTAAAATAGGAAAAACGGCTTCTCTTGAATCATAGTGTTTAGAGAAGATACTGAGAACATTAAAGGATCTATCATTATATGTAAGGCTTTGCCCTCCCAGGGATTAATTATCTCTGTTTTTTAAAAGATTTTTCCTTAGAAACAGATATTTGGGAGTATTTGTCTATTAATAACACATCTTCATCTGATTAGTTCTTTTCTCTGCCTTTTTTTTTTCTGAGACAGAATCTCACTCTGTTGCCCAGGCTAGAGTGCAGTGGCATGATCTCAGTTCACTGCAACCTCTGCCTCCTGGATTCAAGAAATTCTCTTGCCACAGTCTCCTGAGTAGCTAGGATTACAGGCGTGCACCATCACACCTCGCTAATTTTTTTGTATTTTTAGTAAAGACGGAGGTTTCACCATGTTGGCCAGGCTGGTCTCAAACTCCTGACCTCGTGATCTGTCCACCTCGGCCTCCCAAAGTGCTGGGATTACAGGCATGAGCCATCACGCTTGGCCCCTGTATTTTAATCTATTAACATCCCACATCTCCAGCCTGGAATATTATGCAATAGAGTACTCCTTTTATAAGCCCTTAGGTATCATGAAGGATTCTAAATGCTTGTGGATTAAAAAAAAAATGGGGTTTCATTCAGGCTAGATATCTCTGAGGAAGTTTCTTCACTGACTGAGGTCACAGAGGAGGCTGAGATTCTGAATCAATCTCTCAACTGTACCATAAACACATCAGGACACATTCCATCCATAGAAATGAACCTTGAAACTTGGAAGTCTAGAAATTCCACCAGCCATTCGATGGAAAAAGCCTCACCTAGGCAAACACACTTCAAATTTTCTTCCCTCATAATTTTCAGGACAGTGAAAATTTGTGAACCAAATAGGTTTTACCACCTTGCAAACATACATTATAGCAATTACTCCTCAGTCTCAATAACAGAATGCTGTTTAAATAATGTATCATAAGAGTTGTAACTGCTGCT